CGTCAATAGTAAAGGGCAGAGTAGACATCTGCACCGCACACATCAAATGTTGCTTGGCTCTGGTCGCAAACCCGTTTTGCTGGTATGCTTCTGCACCTTCGGTCTTGCATTTCTAGGGACTTACAGCAGTTTCCCGCCAAAGCGCAAAGGGGAACCTGTTCCAGAACTTGTGAGAACTTCGCCGACACCGGCGGGAGTGTTTATCTTCCAAAGCAACAGCGCGTCTGCAAGACATCACGGTCACGGAGATAGATCTGAAGTTTCTAGACATCAAAGAGAAACAGGTTTTGTTAATGGAGTTAGCAAAACGACAGATTAGCCTTTCGTCGTATTTAGCCATTTTAGTTGGTCCTCGGTTTTAAAAAATGGCGCGTCCCGGGACCGCATCGAGAAGGACGACCACACAGACTGCCGGAAAGGCGTACCAAGGACCAGTCACAGCTGCTTTTGTCTGCGCACTTCCACTAGAGGTCTGTGCGGGTCAGGATCTTTTTGAGGTGCGCGACGACGGTTGCAGAACCTCTGCTCGGGGGGCGTGGTCGCTAGAGACTGACACGGGAGTGGATTTTCACTCCTGTCCCACTCCCATAGAAAAAAATGGTGTCCCATCCCGATCCCGGGCCGGAGTAGAAATCTAAATCCTGTCCCGTCCCACTCCTGGTGAAATTACTCCCACTCCCATTCAGAATGACTCCCGCTCCCGCACCGCTCCCATTCAGCCTGCGTTGCAAATCAAACTTTTCGAAGTCGAGTTCGCCGCTAACTGTTGGTCCCTCCATTCTTATTTTTGAGCGCAGGTGAAAAACTCAGAGCGGAAGCACTGTTGGTTTTTGGGTCGTGTAGTTTTTTTGACTCGCATTATAGTGTAGGCTTCAAGGAAAAAAACTACAAAATGGCGGCGCCAGTACTGGATTTGTTTTTCTTTCTATTTTAGTTTATTTTTTGGCATCGATCCTAGTTTTTTTTTTTGTTACTATTGGTTTGCTCCCGCTCCCGTCTGCTCCCGTTAATGTTTAATCCTGTACCATCCCAATCACGTGATTGTTACTAATACTGACTCCCAGATTCCCGAAAAAATGTCAGTCTCTAATGGTCGCACACAGAGACAGATTCAACGGTTCCAGAGGCTATGGGTCAGAAGCATACATTGGCCTTAAGAATAATAAACAACAGATAAAGGATCTCTAACCGGAGGGTTTTAATCTCGTCTCTTTAGCTATTTCTCTCCCCAGAGTGGAAAAGCATTTTATCTGAAGGATGAAACCTCTAAAGCTCCACCCACTGCCACGGTGATGAATATCCCCTAATTACATCTGGTTTGATCAAAGGAGTATGAAGAGCTTTAGATGTTCTGGAGTTTTGACTATTTGAGCCGATGTAGCGAGTACATTTATCCACTATGAATAAAGTCAATCAATCAATCAATCAATCAATCAATCAATCAATCAATCAATCAATCAATCAATCAATCAATCAATCGTTAAGAAGAGGTAGATTTAGGATTTATTAAAACACCGTTAATCCCAGTTTGATGCAACTGATAGAATGTTTAGTTGTGGTTGAAAGCAGCAGAGCAGAAAGAGACCTTTGGATTATTTTCTAATTCAATTTGTATCAAATTCAGGCAAAACAAATTAAAAAAACCAAAGTGTTCAAATGGGAAAACTAAAGCAGCAGCATTACATGGGTTTGGCGCCCCTATGTGGAAGAGGTGAGCTACTACAGCTGGGATTCATCTTTTAACAGAGCCCAGGACTATTTTAATGTCTATAGAAACAAATATATTTTGTAAAATATTTGTAGAAAATAAAAATGTGGAAAGTTTTTTTTAGATTAGGGACAAATAACCGGACCTAATCTAACAGAAAATAATCCATTTGGACGTTGAACCATATTTGATGTTCCTGTTTGGAGAAGCATCGTGTTTAGAAAACATCCAAAAGGTCATTTTAACTTCAAGTCCAAACTTGAAGAATAGAAAATTCTGAGCAATAAATGAAGGAAGGAAAACATAAAGCTGTAAATCCTTTAATTAGATCGAGCTTTGCTGTTTCAGATCCTGTTGAAGCTTGAGTTTGAAACTAAAACTAAGGATCAGTCACATGATCAGTTTTGGTCACTTTGAAGTTTCAGCAGAGCTCAACTCGCGTCTGGATCAGGAAACTTAGCATCATTTATCGTAATAATCCACCTTCCTAAGGCCTCCAGGACCCTGAAAATAACACAGACTGAAAATTCCAGGAAGGTTTTATTCCATTAAGACCAGGTAGGTGTTTGAATCTAAACATATTTACTGTTTTAAACTGTAACAATATTTGATTATTTTGGATAATATAGGATGTTCTAGAAATGTGTGACAGTGAAAGTGATTATCTGCACTAATATCAATTACACAATGATGACATGTATAATTCTACAACTTTCATTGAATAACATTCAATAAAAGTTGTACAATATGTTAATTTAAGAAAAAATAAACACTCCCAGCAAAGAGCAATATCTTTGCTTTAAAACCTTTCTTTGTGTTTTAGTTTGGCCATAATCTCAATCACTTCCTCTTTTTCTTTCAGTTTTTGGGACAAAATCAAAGAGGGTTCCATTTTTCTCTGCTAAATTTCTATCTTAAAATGATTAATGTGATAAAAGTTGTTCTAGTTTTCTAAGCTCTCTTACTCACTGAAGGCTTTGATTTTCCTGCTAACTGTTTGAAAAACTGCATTCTGGATTTCACTTCTGCTTTATTACAGCTTTAATTTCACATCCTCTCTTATTGCAATATTATACTACATAATAATTACACAAACTCACAACAGATCCTTCATCATATAAAGTTTGAAATAAAGCAAAGATGCTTTAACTATTTAAATGTGGTCAGTTCCTTTTACAGACATTTGAAGAAACAAAGATAATTCACATGCAAAGAGAAAAATGAAATGACTCATTTATGCATTAGTTTAATGTCTGATTATTTAAACATGTCAGGATGCAGCAGCAGAGCCCAGATGGCTCAGACCTCACCTCTGTGTCCATGAAGAGTGAGAGATCCATTGAACACATTCCTGACTTCAAGGATGCTCGACTTTTACATGAAAGGTATTCATTCATCCATCAACTGAGTTCATAATGCAGAGGTGATTGATTCAAAGCCCTTTAATGAGTTCTGGGTCTGCAGCAGAGTCTAGTACCCAGAGATGGGAAGTAACAAAGTACAAATACTTCGTTACTGTACTCAAGTAGATTTTTCTGATA